CGCCTCCATCCCAGCGGGGGGGGGCAGGAATGGATCTGCAGCACAGGCAGCTGATGCCCCTCGCTTATGATTTCTGGGGGTGGCCAGGGGGCTGGTGGCCGGTGCGCTCCGAGACGTTGCGCTTCACCTTGGTGGCTGTGCTGGAGGGCTCCACGTTGAGCGAGGGGCTGGAGTGGGACTTTTTCAGACCATCATCCTCCTCACCCGCTGCATCGAAGAGTGTGGACTCAAATGCTGCTAGGTCCTCAGAGCCGGCCTTCAGCTTGGCCCGCAGCAGCATGGCGTAGGTGCCGTAGCGGGATTTCTAGGGGCACAGTGCAGCAGAGAGAGGGGTTGGCAAACTGGGTATTGCCCTTCAGCCAGCATCCCAGGGCACAGAGGGGATGCTCATGGTCCTGGACCACAGCAGTGGCATGGTGCAATTCAGCAGGTGGGGATGGGGAAGAGGGTCCAATCACTCGGGATGGCCAAGCAGACAGGGACAGAGGGACTGAGGGTGGTGAGACGTGTGTGTATCTTCCCAGCTTACCTCAAACTCCAGGTACTCTTCCTTCTGCTTCAGCTCCTCATACTCCTTGCCCTTCACCTTCTTCTCAGGTAGTGAGGAACGATGCTCCAGCAGCTCTGCTGACATCGTCTTGAACTTGGTCTCATGGCTCTTCACCTGCTCTTCCTGGGAAATGGTGGCACCATTTCAGTGCCCTGCCTCTGCCCTCTGCTCTTCCCCCATTCTGGCAGTGTGAACAGCCAGGACCAGAACAGGTTTTTCCCCTCCTAGGTGCACCCAGGATCTCAGCCTCTGCTCCTGGGTTGGGTTCTGTTGTTTTCTTTTGTTAACAGCAGGCAAAAGCACAGGCCCTTGGGAGCAATCTGCTCCTGCCTCGTGGGGGGCTGGCTGCAGTCTTAAAGCAGAAGAATTTAATCCCCTCTAAAACTAGGCTGGTGTTTTTAATCCTTTCTGCTCTATGAATAACTGCCCTGGCACGCGTGAGCGCCAGCTAATCCCCCTGGCCTCTCAAGGTTCCGCTCCTGGCAGGACCCTGCAAGCCGTGGTATGGGACCACGTTCTCCTCCACAGCCTAACTCCATTGCCTATCTCCCATCCCTGCTGCCAGGAACAAGACCTTGCCGCCACCCCCCACCCCAACCTCAGCACCCCCTTGCTCCGTGTGTCCATGGCCACGCTCCCTCAGCCCTGCACCCCACTGTGAGGCAGCTGGGCACATGGCACCACACAGGTCCCTCTGCAGGGGACAGTGCCACCAGCAGACCCAGGGGGTCTGCCCCATGCTCCTGGTTGTCCCCACCCCATGGCACACCTGGGACAGTCTGGTGCAGGAGCTGGGCAGCAGCGGGCGGCTGAACTTCTTCTGGGAGCCAATGGCTGCAGGGAAGGGGGGTGCGGAGAACATGGCTGCCACCACATTGATGCGTGTGATCCACGAGTGCATCTGTTCGGGGTTCCTGAGGAGAAAGGCCAAAGCACAGAGGGGTTCTAAGTAGCACTATGTGTCACAGGCAGAGAGGGAGCTGCCCTACAGACAAGATCCGTCTGCCCCAGGCACCTGGCCCTTGGCCAGCCACAGCACCTGGGGCTCTGCCTGCAGTGACTTGGGCCATCATGAGCCCATCGGGGTGAGAAGAGAAGCTGAGCAAAGCACAGTGCTGACAGTGGCTCCCTTTCCTTTTAGAAAGGGCTGGGACTGGAGAGAGCAATGTGGCCCCAGTCTCAATCCCACCCTCCCCTTCAGTCATATAAGCCGCTGAGCCCCAGTGTGGGGCCCAGCCGGTGATCCTCTGCCTGCAGTGACTTGGGCCATCATGAGCCCATCGGGGTGAGAAGAGAAGCTGAGCAAAGCACAGTGCTGACAGTGGCTCCCTTTCCTTTTAGAAAGGGCTGGGACTGGAGAGAGCAATGTGGCCCCAGTCTCAATCCCACCCTCCCCTTCAGTCATATAAGCCGCTGAGCCCCAGTGTGGGGCCCAGCCGGTGATCCTGAGGGACTCACTGTGCTTGGAAGAGGAAGACCCTCCAGTCAGCTGTCCTGAGGTAGAAGACATTGGGTCGCTTGCTGTAGTCAGATGCCCGTGTGGCAAGTGAATGATGGATGCTAATAGCGTTCTTCAGCTCCTCTTCTGCCAGAGCCTTCCCTGGCTTATACTCCTCCTGCGAATCATGGGGTGTTTCAGAGCCAGCTTAGGGATGCACCCCACCAGGAGTCAGCTCTGTGACACTGCAGGAATGGTAGGCAAGCACTGGCAGTGGTGGGGCTTGGAATGGACATCACCCTCCAGCAGACTACTGAGAGCTCTGCCTGCAGCTCATGCTACACACATGGGGAGAGGCTGCGCAAGTCGGGTGCATGGGTTTGGCCACAGCATGCTGGCTGTTCCCCATTGCCCCACAGCTGGGCAAGCGTTTGTGCCTGCAGGAAACTGGATCTGCAGCACAACCCGTTGCCCAGGGCAAAGACCCTGGTGCCTCCTCTATGCCCAGACAAGCCCCTGCACTCAGGGCTCTCAGGTGGCAGCTGCCTTCACTGCCCAGGCTGAGCCTGAGCACCCCAGGAACAGGGATGCCACCAGGTCCCCAAGCAAAAGCTCAACCAGGCATAGTGCAGAGTCTGCTTAGGCCAGCCTCTACAATGCTAGGCTAGTGAAGCCCCTCTCTTGCTGCTATGGGAACTGCCATGACCTCCCCCCTGGGCTGGGGATAATCCCTCTCCCTGGCATGGATGTTGGCAGCCCTGCTGCTACCTACCTTCTGCAGGTACAGAATCATCCCCTTCAGGATGGCGTGGAAGGACTTCCAGCCGCGCTTCCCCCGGGGCGCTGCCAGGGAGAAGAGAGCAATGGAGACATCAGCCCCAGCACCAAGCCGGGGGCAGGCTCCCCCTGTTCCCATCCTCCTCCTGCCGGCCCAAGATGCACATCACCCTCCCCTGGGACAGGCAGCACGCCAGGACTGTTGCCACACACCTGAGCCTGTGCTGGCCGTGTGCCTGGCAGATGGTGCTGCTGGCAGGGGGCTGCACCGTTGTGCTCCTGTCTCGCTGCCCACCCCCTAGATCACGCTCAGGCTCACTGCTGCCTCCCTGCTCAGGGATGAGGTGCTGCTGCCCGCCAGGTAACGCTTTGGAGGGTGGCTGCATCTAATCAGATCAAGGCAGCATTAGATGGACAGGGCTTAAGAGGGGATTTTACAGTGGAAACTGTGAACGTGCCTGGCAGCGCCCAACCCACTGTGCAGCTTGTTTGTCACACCACAGGGCACCTTCTTTTGTCCCTGCCATGCTGTGGGAAGGGTACATCTCCCACAAGGCCTAACCCACGTCCCTGCCCAACTCCTTTCCAGCACTGCAGGCAGGGGCTGTGCTGTCATCTCAGCCTCTGCCAGCCCTGAAGACTGGCATAGAGAGGCTTTGAGGATCCACAACCTGGGGGCTGAATTATGCCCAGCACAGCCAGTCAGCCAGGGTACAGGGAAATGATGCTGCAGGCTGGCATAATGCTGCAGTCAGACATGATGTAGTGACACTTGCCCTGCTCCCCATTGTGTTTCTGGAGCCCACTGGTGCCCTCTCGGCCCGAGTTCTTCCCATGGAATCCCGAGGTACCTACTTTTCTTGCAGTCAGGATCAGCATGGATCTTGCGCACTAACAGACCATGCTTGTAGGTGGCGATGCTGGAGTCTTGGGAGAAGTCCAGAAAGGGGTTACTGCAACTGCTGATGCGCTTGATGGACTTTGGGTTGGGATCTGCCAGCTCCGAGAGGGACTTTCTCAGCTCCTCCTCATCTCTACCAGGCACAGATTTGGGTGGGGAAAGGGTTTGTTACCTTGCTGTGGACAGCAAATACCAAGCTTCCCATTTGCCAGTGTCAGCTGTAGGACCAGTTTCTGAAAAGGAGGCCAGGAGCAGCAGACGAGGCTGAGCAGTCTCCTATCACCATTGTCAAGCATTCCAAACCCAGCCATGCCTTTGTGTCCTGTCCCTCTAGTCAGCTGTGGTGCTGCCTGGCCCCTCAAAACACATGGCATCAGGGTATCTCCTACGTTCAGGGTGGTCCTGCCTGCCCCAGGGAGCAAGGAGCTTTCTTGGACAGGATTAAGGCTGATGGTGAGCCAGAGGCCATAGAGGAGCAACACCCCAGGACTTGGAATTACAATAGCCCCCTGGTCCATGGTGTATGGGCATGCAGGTCCCCAGCTGGCATGAGTGAAGGTCTAGAGAGGACACCCACACCCCCAGGAGAGACCCAGGCTGTGGTCCCCATGCCTTCTGGGCAGCAGCTGGACTATGGGGCTCAGAGCCACCAGTAAAGGGGTGTAGGAAGTCTGTGGTGGGAGGTCTCAGGCAGCACTAGCCTGGGGCACGGGCATGTGCGGGCACGTGCAGGCAGCCCAGGCACCAGGAGGCAGCAGGCCTTGCACTCTCCGTCCAGGTCATGGCCCCTGGCATTGTGGGCAAGGCTGCACTGGTGCTGCTCCCTGCCCCGGGCAGGAAGATGTGGGAGCCCAGAGCTGCTGCCTCCCCCCTCCTTCAGACCCGCTGCTGCTAATTAAACCCCTCAGCATCTGCTGGCGTCGCC